CCCTCCCCCATCTAACTTCCCTTCCCCTTCCCTCCCCCTCCCCTTCACCCCCTTTGATTGGTCAATCCGCCGGTTCACCATTGTTCATGAGGCAGGAGCCTTCCCTACCCCGCAAGAGATGATGGGCCCTTGTTGCATTTCCTGTTCAGGCAAGAGAGAACAATCACTGCACCAATATCTAGCCTTTAGTTTTTTTGTTAGAATACATAACAGCACTAGCAACTGCTTGGGGTGTTGGAAAAAACAACAACAACAACAACAACAACATAACATAGGGCCTATAATGCGACTGAAGCCTGGGTCTCAGAGGGTGAATGATGTTGGTTGGGGATGGGACTGGCCAAGATTGTGTGCCTTTCTCAGCCCTGGGTGACCACAGCGTTCATGTGAAGGACACCGGGCCCGTTTGCCGGGTTTATAAATTAGTTAAAAAAAAAAAAAAAAAAAAAAAAAAAAGAACTCACCAAGATCCTTTTCTTCCCTTTTACAAGTTCCACGGTGAAAAACACAATTTCATTTTTTCCCGTAAAAGCAACATCTGATCCCAAAAAAAAAAAAAAAAAAAAAAAAAAAAAAAAAAAAAAAAAAAAAAAAAAAGACTCTTCAGGGTCTTCGTCCCGTCCCCCCCAAACACCCCCCCCCCAAATACATGTCTTCCTTCAAAATAACAAAGGGAAGAAAAGTCAAATTTCAAAACAGAAAAAAAAAAAAAAAGACAGAAATTTCAAATTTCAAAACAGCCAATTCCTTCCCATCATTCACACGCTCTCTGAAACTATAGACAGCGGCACATGCATTACATTCCCAGAGTTCACTTGTGAATCTTTATATCTTATGACGATTAACTTGGATTAAGTGATTCATCAACCCCTTTTTTTTTTTTTTTTCAAAACTAAACTATGTTCTTCCCCCAATTTAAACCTTAATTCCAGTTCACTGTGAGAGCCTGAGAGCTAGCTATGCTTGCAGGGGTCCCCTCCATCGGCTGACGAGGAGTAAGTAGCCTGGTAGGTAGGTAGGTAGGTAGGTAGGTAGTGAAAGGTGAAATATTCATGAACCTTGACCTTTTTCAACACGTTCCAGAACATGCTACTGATCCGCCCCCCCCCCCC